TGAACCCAAATACCTGTACTTTCTACTTCTCACATGTTGAACCCAAATACCTGTACTTTCTACTTCTTACATGTTGAACCCAAATACCTGTACTTTCTACTTCTCACATGTTGAACACAAATACCTGTACTTTCTACTTCTTACATGTTGAACTCAAATACCTGTACTTTCTACTTCTTACATGTTGAACTCAAATACCTGTACTTTCTACTTCTCACATGTTGAACACAAATACCTGTACTTTCTACTTCTTACATGTTGAACTCAAATACCTGTACTTTCTACTTCTCACATGTTGAACCCAAATACCTGTACTTTCTACTTCTCACATGTTGAACCCAAATACCTGTACTTTCTACTTCTTACATGTTGAACCCAAATACCTGTACTTTCTACTTCTTACATGTTGAACTCAAATACCTGTACTTTCTACTTCTCACATGTTGAACACAAATACCTGTACTTTCTACTTCTTACATGTTGAACTCAAATACCTGTACTTTCTACTTCTTACATGTTGAACTCAAATACCTGTACTTTCTACTTCTCACATGTTGAACACAAATACCTGTACTTTCTACTTCTTACATGTTGAACTCAAATACCTGTACTTTCTACTTCTCACATGTTGAACCCAAATACCTGTACTTTCTACTTCTCACATGTTGAACCCAAATACCTGTACTTTCTACTTCTTACATGTTGAACCCAAATACCTGTACTTTCTACTTCTTACATGTTGAACTCAAATACCTGTACTTTCTACTTCTCACATGTTGAACACAAATACCTGTACTTTCTACTTCTTACATGTTGAACTCAAATACCTGTACTTTCTACTTCTCACATGTTGAACACAAATACCTGTACTTTCTACTTCTCACATGTTGAACTCAAATACCTGTACTTTCTACTTCTTACATGTTGAACTCAAATACCTGTACTTTCTACTTCTCACATGTTGAACACAAATACCTGTACTTTCTACTTCTCACATGTTGAACACAAATACCTGTACTTTCTACTTCTTACATGTTGAACTCAAATACCTGTACTTTCTACTTCTTACATGTTGAACTCAAATACCTGTACTTTCTACTTCTTACATGTTGAACTCAAATACCTGTACTTTCTACTTCTTACATGTTGAACTCAAATACCTGTACTTTCTACTTCTCACATGTTGAACACAAATACCTGTACTTTCTACTTCTTACATGTTGAACTCAAATACCTGTACTTTCTACTTCTTACATGTTGAACTCAAATACTTGTACTTTCTACTTCTCTCATTTTCCAAACAGCTGGTTCTTTTAGTCTGAATGTGTGTTTTGTGGCGTGATCATTATTCTTTAGAGTCATTGCGTGCCTATTGATTTGAACACGATCCGTGTATCCATCATTTCCTGGTCTTCTCTAAAGAAGAGGGACCAATGGAAACGTTGTCATGTTGCCGTTGTTCAGCATGGAAACATTCATTAGCTAACAATGACATTATTGTTCTATTAATATAAAGGGAGGTCAGGTACTCTTTAAAACAGCTGCTAGTTATGGGTACTTTTTACTGAAGTACATTTCAAAGCCTCTTTACTTTGACTTGAGTAAAGAAGTTTAGTCAGTACTTCTACTTTCACCAGAGTATTTTTAAACACGAGTGTCTGTACTTCTACTTGAGTGACGGTGCGTCCACACGGCAGCTTGCCGGTGGGCGTGTCTGGCCTGCGACTAACAACCAATCACATTAATCTCCCGCCCCGGACACACAAGCACGCGCTTTGATTGGCTAGAGCTTGTACTGGCATATGATTTGATTGGCTGGCGCTTCCTCAACATTCGGTGATGTTGTAGCCGTAAAAGTAGAGGTGTAATGAATCATTCTAATGGCTGACAGACATCATTAGTCTGAGCTCTGATTAGATCTGTGCTCTTCCTGCTGGGTTCATCTGCACTGATGGAAAAATACCCTTTTAATTACATTTAAAAATGCAGGAAAATGCCCCATGATGGATGCATTTCTGATAAGCACCATGTACAGAACATCAGAGGAAAACTAAGAGAGGATTAAGAGAACTGTATTTCAGTTGACTCTGCTTACTCTATGAAGGAGTCAACATGAAGCTCTGAATGCTTTGACTCACATTATATTCTTAATACATATTTTGAAAGATTGAATAAATTAAACTTCTTTTTTCAAATCCCATTTCTCTACCGCTACAAAGTTGTGAAAAACATCAAAAACCACTAAAAAATCTTAATATATTAAACAGAGCTCAGATGTTTAGACATCATATTATGTTTCACAGGGTTGAGTTTAAAAGACAAGCGCCACCACCTCCCAATGGTCATCCATTTAATTAGTAATACTGTATACATGGAGTAAACAGTCTCACTAGCTAATGTTTGCTTTCTGTGTTAACTTAGTGATAGTTAATGACACGGATAGCGTTATAACCGTGGTTCAAACAACCATTAATGTCACTTTCTATGTGAATAAAGTCATTTTAATGAAATAAAAGTGAACAAACTGTCAGCTGTAAATTAGAATGTAAGTTGCTACACAGATTATGATGAATTATATCTAAATATTTGTATTCAGGTACATACTCGTTTTAATTCCCACTTCATTTATTTGCCACTCTTTTTCCTTTCTATGATACTCACATCTATGTTAGCTTCTGGGGAAAGCCATGGAGGAACACGGCTAAATGGGCTTGCTTTGGCAAACGTGATATTCTCCACTCCACATGCCCTCGTTCTCTCCTCACTCGTCCAGCCAAACCCACGCCCCTGGAACTTTGTATATTCCCAGCAATCCTGTAGTTTTCTGTTTGTGATATGTTCTTCTCCACTCCCTTGAAGCCTGACCCAGTATGACAGAGCAAGTTTCTCTCTTCTGATCTCCAGAGGTGTCTCTCCTGCTTCTATCAGAACTGCATTGATAGGGGATGACTTTATCGCTCCAATACACAGCCGCAATGCTTTATATTGTAGTCTATCCATTTTTTAAAGCGATGTTTTTGCTGCTGCTCCATACACTATACGACCATAGTCTATAGTCTACAACCTCATCATTGATCTGTAAATGTCTATCAATGCTTGTTTGTCTGCGCCCCAGTTGCATCCAGCTACAGCTCGCAATACATTTAATACTTTTTAGCATTTTGTTTTCCACTTGATTAATATGCATTTTTGCTATCAAACCACAGTCCTAGGTATTTGAACTCATTCACCTTTGTCTTTGGACGATCATATAGTGTTAGCTGTTGGCCATCAATCTTGTGTTTGTTTGTAAATACCTGTAGCATGACTTGCTTTCTGACATTTTGAATCCCCAGTTATATGACCACCTCTACTTTTTTAATCGCTCTAGCTTCTCCATTACGTATGGGGCATGTCTTCCCTCATCCAAATAGCCCCATCATCTGCGTACAGAGCCGATTGGATGCATGTGTCTAAGCATGTCAATATGTCATTAATCATGATGTTAAATAATATTGGACTGACTGCACTCCCTTGGGGGATACCATTTTCTATTTCTAAATAATTGGAAATATCTGCTCCAACCTTTACTCTAAATGTCCTGTCTGTTAAAAAGGCCCTTACCCAATAGAACATTCTCCCTCCAATACCCATATACTCAATGTGATCAGTGACCCCTCCCTCCACATAGAGTCATACGCCTTTTCAATGTCAAAGTACACTATTGCCATTATCTCTTTCATTTTCAATGTTTTTCCCACATCATTACTCACTCTTACTAATTCCACATCCAGAGCTGATATTATCCTGTCTCTTCTCCTTCACCTTTTCATTCTCTGCTAGTAAGTGCTGTTTTTGCTGCCTATGAATATCACTGAGATGCTCCCCACTATGTACTGCTGCAAGTGTCCTTCCTAACATACCTGCCTTCTCTTCATCTGTCACTGCCAGCCTCTCCCCATGGATTTCCTTTTCCCCACTCATCCGCTTAAACATGGACCAGACATCACCTAATGTTACTCCTCTGCCAATGGTAGAACACAATTCTCTCCATGTTCTCTTTTGTGTGTATTTTATTGTCCTTCGAGCAGCTGCCCTTTTCCTTTGAAACTCTATAACATTATTTTGTGTCATGATTTTCTTTTCTCTAAGTGCATCGTTTCGCTCTTTAATAGCCCTGCTGCATTCCTCATTCCACCATGGCACCACTTTCTTCCTACCCTTGGTTGTTTTTTTGGGTATACATGTACTGTTCTCTTCTGCATTTAGTATATGTTGCGTTATTTGGCTTGTAATGACCTCTATGCTTCCCTCTGATGTTAGCAGGTGTACCGACTCCTCACACCATATCCTACATTTCCCCAATCAGCTTTAGCAAAGCACCACCTGGTTATCACACCTCCTTCCTGCATATATACACATTATTATTCATTTTAGTAAGCACTGGATAATGGTCAGTGGAGTTATTCAAAACAAACCATTCGCATGTATGAACCAAACAGTTTGACACTAATATCAGATCCAGGCATGAGACTTTCCCCCTGTGTTCATCTACTCTTGTGCCATGTCCATCATTAAGGCATACTAGTGTTCTTTCCTCCAGCATTTCTTCCACTATATTTCCGTTACTGTCTGTATGGTTGCTGCCCCATAGACTGTTGTGTGCATGCATGTATGAGCAGCATTACAACTGGATTGTATATTGGATACATAAGCTGTATTGGACAATGGCTTGGATTTAATGCTGCAATAATGTCAGCTGTTCGGCAGATGGACAGCCAGAAAACTAAACTTAAAGGAACAGTGAACATTATGCCTGTCAATTCTGACGTTACGTCAACAGATGGCGCTGTTGGGATGGGATCTGTAATGGAAAAAAGGATTACCCAACACATGGCCAATAGATGGGAATTGTTTATTGTAAACTGAAAAAACTAAATATGCTTAATTGCGGCTCCTACACTCTTAACAGCACTATGGTTTTTCTCCTGAGTGAACACGAAGATGTGTTTTGAGAGCACCTGATGTAGTGAACATTTTCCCACACTCTTCACACCAGTACGGTTTTTCTCCAGTGTGAATACGGTGATGTGTTTTGAGAGCACCTGATGTAGCGAAAGTTGTCCCACACTCTTCACAGCTGTACGGTTTTTCTCCAGTGTGAATATGTTGATGTGTTTTGAGATTACTTGAACAAGTGAAAGTTGTCCCACACTCTTCACAGTTGTACGGTTTTTCTCCAGTGTGAATACGGTGATGTGTTTTGAGAGCACCTGATGTAGCGAAAGTTGTCCCACACTCTTTACAGTTGTACGGTTTTTCTCCAGTGTGAATACGGTGATGTGTTTTGAGAGCACCTGATGTAGCGAAAGTTGTCCCACACTCTTCACAGTTGTACGGTTTTTCTCCAGTGTGAATACGGTGATGTGTTTCGAGAGAACTTGAATGAGCGAAAGTTTTCCCACACTCTTCACAGTTGTACGGTTTTTCTCCAGTGTGAATACGGTGATGTGTTTTGAGATTACCTGATTGAGTGAAAGTTTTCCCACACTCTTCACAGCCGTACCGTTTTTCTCCAGTGTGAACAAGCAGGTGGCGCTTTAAATTTCCAGATGTTGAAAAGGATTGGTCACATTGCTGACAGCTGTGATGTCTTTCTTTTCCTTTCGGTTTCTAGAACGACGGACAGAGAAAGAGAGAAAGTCAATCTAAAAAGCATAAATACACAAGTTAACACAATAAAAACTCACTTAATATAGACCTTGAGTTAACAAAATACTACTTATCTGTTTGTGTTTATTATATTTGTATTATTTTTGATACAGTAATACAGCAATATACTAACCAAAGTATATACCAGAGGTGGGGGACTCGAGTCACATGACTTGACTCTTATATTTTTTGACTTGAGACTTGCTTGACTAACATTGATAAAAGACTCGACTTTGACTTGGTATTCATGACTTGAGACTTGACTTAGGCTTGAGACAGATGACTCGAAAGGACTTTACTTTTTAAAATAAAATATATGCATTTGTTTTTTTATTGTACGAAGTCGCTAGAGGGCAATGAAAGAGAAAAAAAAGAGAGAGAAAGTCTCTTCTCGTTCGCAGGAGAAAGTAGGAAGTGGAGCGCACAAGAGACAGCAGTTTCATTGCAGACTGTTTTGTTTATGTGGGGAAATACATACATTATTTGAGATATATTTCAAACTCTGTCATTTCGGCCAGGGGTGTAGAGTTATTTGTTCAAGCACCGGATCGGCAAAACAGGAGAGTGTGTGAACCAGTCTTCCTTGACCTATGTATTCATGTCTGTGACTCTCACAGTATCTGCTGCCCACAGCTGTTTTATAGAAGGAAAACCTCCTTCACTTCATGAAATCTCTGCAGCACCAGGAGGCAGTAAAGTGTAACTCAGCAGAATCTGAGAAGAGCAGTGCCTTCACTGTGTTTACCTTCATTAGAACCACACACACACACACACACACACACACACACACACACACACACACACACACACACACACACACACACACACACACACACACACACACACACACACTTTATGATTTCAGAACCCCACTCTCCATTGTTGTTAATGTTGAAAATAAAACTCTAGTTTCATAACCACTGTCTTTTAACTGATTTAAACTGGGGTTATTCATCAGGATTTCGTAGGACTTGACTTGCTTGACTCTCACCCCAGTAACTTGAGACTTGCACATGTATGACTTACTCCCACCTCTGGTATACAATAGTGTTAATTTCGTTGACTAAAACTATGACGAAATATGTTCGTCAACGACCTTTTTTTCCATGACGAAAACGAGACGATGACGAGACCGACGGCAGTAAACAATAACTGCAACAAAATCATCATGCAATATCGTTGACGAAAAGTGACGAGACAAAAATGTAGTTTACTAAATAAAAACTATGCCAAAATCTCTCTTTACTTTCGTTGACGAAAAATGAGGAGACGAAATATTATCAAAGATAACGTTACATTTCTGATAGTCAGTTTTTCTCCCAGCAGATCCATTTCCGGTGCTGCGGCTGGGCAGCAGCTGTGTGTCTGTGGTGCGCGCGGTGGTAGATTTGAATTACACCGGGCAGCGGCACACTGTGAACTGTCAGGAAGACTCGGGTCTAACTCATGGTCTAACTAACCTTATTTAACAGAAAATAAAATGGCAACAACAGGGCTTGGGAGCAGTGGTCGCACTCGTGTTAACCGAAGACGAGGTAATGTACAGCGTGAGTGTCGGGGGATAATGAGAAGCAGCTTCAGCCCGACACTGAACCCTTCCTTTGAAAAAACATGAAATTTCTTTACTTCCGCCAACGTTTTTCTGACCCGTCGCGGGAGGTTTAGTGTTTCCCTGAAAGCGCTGATAAGACGCCGCTCTCGACACTTTCTGCCCCCGTCAGTGTGTTTTTATTTAATCTGAAAACATTCCAGGTTATTCTGAGGAACTCCGGTGTTTGAGTTAAAGTGTTTTCCCTGATTATGACTCGAACATAGCGTGCAGCTTAACATGGGAAACAGAGTTACCCCCAGATTCAGGAACGATAGGAACATAAACACGGCTGTGGAAATAGGACTAAAATAAGATTCCATTTCAAAGTCCATCTGTCTCATCTGCAATGCGAGCGAGGCTTTATCGAAGAAGAGTAATTTAGGAGCGGCATTTCAAAACGGTGCACAAACGCTACGAGACGGAATTCCCTCCTGATTCTGCCCTACGCTCCAAAAGGGGAGGGGCCTGAAAGGACAGCTAAATGCACAGCAGTCCATTTTCACCAGGCCCAACAACAAGAGCAAGGCTGCTACCAGAGCATCTTATCGTGTCAGTCACGTTCTTGCGAAACACATGAAGTCTTTCAAAGACGGCGAAGTTGTGAAAGAAGCATTCCTGGAGGCTGCCGACGCGCTTTTTGGGGACAATAAAAATACCAGTAGCATTTCAACAGGTTTTTGATATTGTAACGTTCAACAAAGGGAGTCGGAAACAGGCTTCAAGTTATTGGGGTTTAATAACTCTTTTGTCCGCACACGGACACAGGTTACATGTTACAGGTTCATCATCACTCTCTCCTCCACTCCCTAACTCACACCCACACAACAGGGTCAACGTCACGACTCCCCCAGTCCTCACCCTCTGCTCCCCCAACCACAGGCCCGCACACCGACCAGCTTACTCTGCAGCTCTGTGATTGGCAGAGAGACAGGGATGCTTGAGTGACACACTCAGCACCCTATACAGAGTCGCTACAATATAATAAAAACTCAAGTTAGATACCGTTATTAATCAGCTGTAAGTTTTAGTTTGTTTGAACTTATTCATTATAATTATTGTACAAAATGGTATAAGAATGCAAACTTAAATTGATTATAGTCTATTATCAATTCAGGTTAAGAAACTAGTGTTGCTTGCATCCTATTTTAAAGGCATTTCTTTTTATACTCTATTAAAATGCAACAAAAAAAGGGTTTGATTCTATTAATGTTGACTTTTTTATTGCACTTTGGCAGCAGATTCCTGAGTAGCTTCAGATCTGAGTTGTCTTATTAGTAAGCCTCATTTATACTTTTGTAGCAACACTATTTTTATATAATGGCAAAGAAAGGGTTCAGAGTCTTTTCTTTTTTCCTGTGTCATATGTGGCAGCACTGTTCAATGCTTCTTGAAAACATTACCCACTGTAGTGACGTGTGAATAAACTCCAACTCTGTATCAACAACACTGTTGTGTAACTTCAGTTAAATACTTGTATTTGTGTAGATTAGAAAGAGGTAAAATAAAGGATCTGCAGTATTTTATGAAGTATTAATCGTACAAAGGTCAGTTTTATACAAGTAGAAGTACTGGCTGTCAGTAATGGTTACGCCTCTCTATTTGGACTGGTAGATCTCGGCAGACTGGCAACTTTAAAAGTAGCTCTCGGTTCAAAAAAGGTTGGGCACCCCTGATCTAAAGGCTACGCATGGAGATCGGAACGTGCACACCCTGAAGAAGTGTTTACTGGACAATATAACAGAAGTAGAAAGAGTGGACGACAGTTATCTTGCAATAAGTGTTTTGGAAGATTTTCCATTATGTATGTAAGTTTGTTAAACTTGAATGGGACAAATAGATGTTTTCCTCTTAAGCATACTTTGGTTTTTTAAATAATTTTCCATTTAAGTAGAGTAGATTAGCGCAATTGTCTTTTCTTCCACTCTGTGTTATAATCAAAAAGGTGTTTTTTTGGCTATTGTGAGTAGGTACAAATGATTACCCATTGATAAATATTTTTCAGAAAGTCATGTTGGGCTTTCGAGGGCGGAACTCATAGGTTACTTGCAATAATAATCTTTTTTGATTAAGTGATCTTAATTATAAAAAGGAAAGAGTGTTATAGCAGAATGTTTAATACAGCGTATTTCTGATATTCATTAAAGATCACATGGTATTCCATATGATGTGTGTTACTGAGTTGGGTCACACAGTTAGAGAGACAATGGTCGTTCTGAATGATCAACAGATGTATTCATTTTAAGCGAGCTGACACCGAGGTTAGAGGAAGTTCAGAGAAGGCCTCTGTCACGGTTGGGGAAAAATAGGACCCAAATGCAGATTGAGGAGGAAGCAGGTTTCAAAAGGAAACAAAAGGCGAGCTTTAATTTCAAAAGCTGAAAAAACAAGAATCCATGAACAGGTACGAGGTAGCATCCAAACAAAGGTGACTGTGACCAACATGAAGGGAGACATGAACGACAAATAATGAACCAACACTGAACACAGGAAGAGACAAGGCAAGGCAAGGCTATTTATTTATTTATTTATATAGCACATTTCAACACAAGGCAATTCAAAGTGCTTTACAAAAAACGAAAGACATTAAGAAAATGGCACCAGGGAAACTAACGACAGGGAGGAAGACAAGACACAGGGAGAACAGAATAGCAAAATAAAACCATGACACAGGCCCGGACTGGCCATCGGGAGCACCGGGAGGTTTCCCGATGGCCTGGCCTGCTAAGTGGCCTGCTGGCCTGAGGATTTTTTTTATGTATGTATTGTGAACGCAACGCTGCGCAAATGTGGGTTTGACTCTGCCTCACAGAGGGTGACTGGCTGTACATGACGTGGCCTGCCGACATGGCCACTTTCATACAGATCATACACTAATGCCCTCGATTGGTCTCTGTGTGTCATTCAAGCTCGGGAGGGTGTGTGTATGTGTGGCGCGAGCGAGAGAGAGAAAGCTCGCGCACCGGTTACGTGTAGGCTATTGTTGTTGTTAGCATCTGGTGCTAGCTAGCTGCGCTAACGGATATAAGGAGCTCTTTCAACAACAAGGTGGAGGAGAGTCCTCTCCTGTCAGACTGAGAGACTGATAACTACAGCTCAGGTGAGGTAAAGGACTCTGCTGAGTGTTTAGATAGTTAACTTAGTTCTCAGTGGGTCTCACGGTTTGGTCACCATTCATGTAAACACATATTTCCATTTGAGGGGGGAGTGATTAGTAAAATATAGATGAATAATAATAAAAAAACGTTAACTAGGTGAAAAAATGGAAGATAAACTTAAAAAACTTGTTGAGAGCTAAAACTAGTCTTTACTGCTGCCTCAAAGAGGAGCAGGGGGAGAGGAGGGAGAGGAGAGGAGGGAGAGGAGGGAGAGGAGGGAGAGGCTGATTCAGGAGCACAGACACACTCACAACTATAAATGAACCAAAAACAAATAAATAAACAAGTTTCAATGTTTTTTCATATTGGATATGGTATGTTATTGGTTATGGCCATGTTCTTATGATTTTATGATTATTTAAATGTATACAGTTCTGTTTCATATAGTTGTAGTCTCTCTCTTTATTTCCCCCTCAAAATGCACCAGATTGATGCATTTAAGTCCAACATTTAAAAAAATATCTTATTCTCCCCCGGACCCCCCTATAGGATTTGAGGTCCACCCCCACTTAAAATATGTTCACATGAATAGGTTCCTAAATAGATTTGCAATTTTTTTTAAATAGTAACCCATCTCCATATGTTTATTTTTTGGGAGTAGATTTAGAGGGCTATCACTATGGGCAGCAACGCTGTAAATATTGACAAATAAATCCAGCAAAATGCCACAAAAAACTGGTACTGGCTTGGCTGGGTGTATAATTCCCGGCCTGACTTATTGTCCCAGTCTGACCCTGCCATGACATAATACTAAGATCGTGACAGCCTCAGGTTATAAAAACAGTTAACCTTTGTTAGTTAACTAATCCTAAGGATGTCATGAGACGATGACGTTTAAACATATACAAGTATAGCTTTCAGAGAGATAAACATGTGACCTTTGTGTGGTAGGCTGCATGGTAAAATGTGTGTGCGTTAAACATGCTTAGGGAAAATGTGTGTGTGTTCATTGCAGTGGCTATATATGCTGTATGATTGTTGCTACTGTGGGGGGCATTTCCGCGACTGGCTGCTGTGTTTGTTTGTTGCAACAACTACATAATAATTACTGATCAGCTATATCTGTGTTTGTGTTTTATTGATTCCTCTCTGTTTCATTCTTTCCTGTTGTGTGAGTGCTGGATCGCCGCAACAAGATGCACAAAGACTTAAATGAATGAACAACAATCACAAAGAGGCCGCAATGCCAAAAGGGTCCGGGGGAATATCTCACACAATGTATCTAAAGACACACAAAGATCCCAAAGATGATTCCAGCCCACAGATATACACAACATGACGAAAACAACCTCAAGACATGTAAAACAACCACAACAGACTACTTAAAACGATCACATAAATGCAGAAAATGTATTAAAAAATATGCAAAAAGACTGAAAGTAGATTTGGTGACACACCCACTCGCTTGGAGCTTAAAACAGGAACTTAATCTCAACTTTAAATTCACACAATTTAAGTTTTATATCTCTACAACTCCATCTTAGTGACAAAGTCTGTCCACTCCCAGAAACGTTTATCACTTCTCAGGAAAGAAGAGTAATGATGAGAAGGAAACAGACGTTGTGTCAGAGTGGAACATTTTCATGTTGCTGAGCAACAGACAGGAAGCAGGGGGCGGTCTCAGACTCGGGACCTTCACACTCATGTCCAGTAGGTGGCGGTATGCACCTTTAAAGTTCTTTGCAATCCGCCAAAAACCGAGAGGAGAAGAAGGAGAAAATAAGAGGTGAGTGGATTAAACACCTGCAGAGGTTTCATTAAGTGTATTTACACCTCTTAGCTTACAGTTAATCACGAATCAGAAGTTATTTTATTTAACACAACAGCTATAATCTTGGAAGAAAGAAACTCACAAAAAAACGTTAAAATGTGCGACAAAAATAGTCTGAATCTATCTTTAAAAAAAGGTTAACAGCTACAGTCTAAAAGCTACAGTCTAACAGCTACAGTCTAACAGCTACAGTCTAACAGCTACAGTCTAACAGCTACAGTCTAACAGCTACAGTCTAAAAGCTACAGTCTAACAGCTACAGTCTAACAGCTATCGTCTGAAAGCTATCGGTTAACAGCTATCGTCTAAAAGCTATCGTCTAACGGCTAACGGCTATCGGCTAACAGCTACAGTTATTATTCCAGTTCGGCTCTGGGGGAGTAACAGTTGATATGTAATGCTCAGCTGACTTTATGTTAGTTATTTATTACACCAGTTGTCTTTAAGACGGTTTGAGTTGTTGTGTTGGTGCTCTTTACCATAGATATGGTTTTAACTATATGCTAACTAGCTTATTAGCATCGCCATTCACCGTGACGTTGCATTTTTCCCATTGAAATGAATGGGGTTCTTCAGTTAGCAGCTAACGCTAAGCTAAGCGACGGTTTAGCTCATTAGATAAATAGATATACTTTATTTAAATAATGATTTATCTTAAACTGGGAAATGATTGTGTCACAGCAGAAGTGTTTTCAGGCATTACACGAGTTAAACATATTTAAAAGATGCAATAAGATATCATAAAAATGAAGCATTCGCAGCAAGTTTACACACAGGACACATATCACTAGAGTATCTAAAGAATACACAATATACAGAAAATATTGTATACATGGAGTACATTAAACAGTCTCACTAGCTAATGTTTGCTTTCTGTGTTAACTTAGTGATGGTTAATGACACGGATAGCGTTATAACCATGGTTCAAACATCCATTAATGTCACTTTCTATGTGAATAAAGTCATTTTAATGAAATAAAAGTGAACAAACTGTGAGCTGTAAGTTAGAATGTAAGTTGCTACACAGATTATGATGAATTATATCTAAATATTTGTATTATATTAATAATAATTTACACAGAAAACCAACTTTGTATCGTAATGGTTAAAGTCATTTGAATGTAATGTTAATAACTATCTGACCTTTCTATCATTTTCTCCTCTGCTTAGCATCACATTGACTAAATGGATCAATTTGGAACATGTTTAGGTCACAGCAGCATAGAGATGAGACAAGGCACTGCACATGGTGTGATAAAACACTACATATAAGCATCTAGAAACATATCATTGAATAAACTCTTTGAATTCCTCCTCTTCACTCCTGATAGTTTATGATGAACTATATCTAAATATTTGTATCATATTAATAATGAAGCAGCTCTGTGGTCTTCATCAGGACAGCTGATGAGCAGCATGGAGGAGAAGAAAGAGACCCCTGGAGCTCAGGTCAGTGTGCACTTCATCACAATATATTCCTAATTCCAGCGTTTCCGCCAGGCGGGCTTCTTGCCTTCATTTGACGCCCTTATTCAGCTCGGAACGCCCTATACAGACATAAATAAACCAGCGACTGTATTCTCCATGACACAGACAGTCTGTGGTTTGTACTTGTTTAACTTCTGTCTAGTTTCTGAACAGATATGAAGAGCTGTGAGCTCTGAGGACTAACAGCTAACGGCTGATGTTGGTTTTGTGGTTCACATTGTCACTACCCGATCTGCAGCCCTGCCCTATCTGCAGTACGCATGTGCGAGATGGTCCGCCATATTTGACAACTCCATACGGCAATTCTAATAGGACATTTGACGTCTAGACGGCTGCCCGATTTGCATCGTGCATGCGCGAGTCATAAACGTCTCGTATCTTTATTAAAATATTTTATTTTATTTGAAATAAAATGAAGGACATTCACAGTTAATGTAATTAGATATAAATTATGAATGCCATACATATTGCATACATTCACAGTCAATATTTCTTCAATATGTATGTATGATGGCTGTCTAACAGAAGTTACATCCATTTCTCACTTATTCTGACAATGTACTTAACCCAATCAAATGACCCAATGAAAGGAGTTGTTCAATAATAGTGAAGTCACGTTGTAATAACAATAACTCATCTCTCTCGTTCAGATTAATATTGTCGGATTTTTTGAGTGTTATTTTTCTGCTTTGCCAAACGCCACTGTGTCAAATGTCCTATTAGAGTTGCCGTATGGAGTTGTCAAATATGGCGGACCATCTCGCACATGCGCACTGCAGATAGGGCAGGGCTGCAGATCGGGTAGTGACACACATTGAAGATGACGTCACGGCTGCGCCTACACTGGCTCAACGCTAACTTTTAAAAGTGGTTGCCAGGCTGGCAACCAGGCATCAGCTTTTGGTTGCCAAAACTGAAAATACGGTTGCCATTTTTAGTCCCCTTATATTTTAAATAATTAAGATACTATACAGTTATGCATCAACTTAATAATGAGCACGTGACACAAAAAAAATGTCAAATGCTTTACAATAAGTAATGAACACACTTATTTGAAACTAAAGTGGTAGTAAACTTGTCCCTCAATTGCTGGTATACAAAATACCAGTAGTGCAGCTGTTGTTCTTCACAGATCCCTCACAAATGAATTGAGCAAGTCACTAGTTTCTTGGTCATCCGTTGTCTCCCTTTCAAATGTGGGTTTTCTTGACCTCTGTGCTGACCCCCACCATAGATCCATTGGCCCTTCAGCATTGAAGTCTTGACCTCTGTGCTGACCCCCACCATAGATCCATTGGCCCTTCAGCATTGAAGTCTTGACCTTTGTGCTGACCCCCACCATAGATCCATTGGCCCTTCAGCATTGAAGTCTTGACCTCTGTGCTGACCCCCACCATAGATCCATTGGCCCTTCAGCATTGAAGTCTTGACCTCTGTGCTGACCCCCACCATAGATCCATTGGCCCTTCAGCATTGAAGTCTTGACCTCTGTGCTGACCCCCACCATAGATCCATTGGCCCTTCAGCATTGAAGTCTTGACCTTTATGCTGACCCCCACCATAGATCCATTGGCCCTTCAGCATTGAAGTCTTGACCTTTGTGCTGACCCCCACCATAGATCCATTGGCCCTTCAGCATTGAAGTCTTGACCTCTGTGCTGACCCCCACCATAGATCCATTGGCCCTTCAGCATTGAAGTCTTGACCTCTGTGCTAACCCCCACCATAGATCCATTGGCCCTTCAGCATTGAAGTCTTGGATTGGCCAGACTAATACATTTCTAATGTTAAATAAATGAAAACCATTCACAGTTAAGAATTATATATTAATTATTAATGCTGTAAATTACCTTTAAATATGTCTAACTATATTTAAAATGTGTTACCTTTTTATAGAAGTGATTATATTTGTATGCCAATATTTTTTCCTAGGTAAAGTTTCGTTTAGCACTTTTATTTTGGTAGTAATAAGATCAGGACTCTTATTTTGAAGGAACTTTTACCGGAAATGAATGCACAACGGAGCAGAATGTACTTATATATTTCGCCTCCCAAGACTTTACACATTTCCTCCTTGCCTTTGTTCAGGTTCATCTTGCGCTTTATCAGTTGAATCACTTTGAACATTCGTTTGAGATGTTGACGGGTTGGCCGAACTTTTTACCCCACAGTCAAACAACTTAATTTGCTTCGCCATTTTTTGTAAAACAAACACACGGCGCACCGCGCACGCGAGTAAACGTGCATCGCTTTCTGGCTCCGTAATCACACCAATGCACGTGCAACTTAAGTATCAGGCTCCGACTGGTCAATCAATCAATCAATGTTTATTTATAGCCCAATATCACAATGTCTCAGTGGACTTCACAGTTTGTACAAAATATCAGTATGACAATACGACACCCTCTGTCCTTAGACCCTCACATCGTACAAGGAAACACTTCCGAAGAAAACCCACAGTTTTAAGGGAACAATGGGAGAAACCTCAGGGAGAGCAACAGAGGAGGGATCCCTCTCCCAGGACGGACAGACGTGCAATAGATGCCGTGTGTAAATTGAAAAGATAATACATTTGCAACATAGGTAGACCAAATGTTTGGAAATGCATGTGTGACTGGTCACAACAATAATTAAATATCACTCTTAATCAGTGTTGTGCTAGTTACTGAAAACCAGTATCTAGTTACCATTACTAGTTACTTCATTTCAAAAGTAACTCAGTTACTCTACTAGTTACTTAAACCAAAAAGTAATGCGTTACTGTGAAAAGTAACGTTTTAGTTACTTAAAAAAAGGGCTCCCATTAATGCCCTTATAGCCTTCATTTCAGTACTGTTATTGCATTGGAGCAGGGGTAGCCAACACGGTGCCCGCGGGCACTCAGTCGCCTGCAGGGGCAACGTGAGGCGCCCGCCGGGCACGTTCTAAAAATAGCTCGCCAAGAAAATCCAAAATGTAAAAAATACACAAAACAAAAAACGAAATGTAATTAAAAGAATCTACCCCATGCAAACGAAACCTAAATCATAGCGAACTCTATCTACTTACTACAACTCTATATCTATCTAACTCCCCTCCTCCCCCCACCCCCACAATGAATATCGACCAATCACGTTCTTGCTTGATTTGCGGGACCAGCGTTGCAGTCGGGAAGAAAAGCAATGTGGCACCTCCCCGCTGATTTTCCTTCTGGCAGAATCTACACATCAGCCCCATTGAACAGCCTATCATGCAGCCTATACAGCACATGAGGGGCAGAGCTTTACTGTGTGTGTTGTAACTTGCATATATTTATTCCACTTGACGCACACACACACGCATGGCGTAATCTCCAGGGGGGACAGGGGGGGGGACATGTCCCCAGCACTTTTCGAAATCCCGTTTGCCACGGAGGAGCACACAGTGTGTGTGTGTGTGTGTGGTGTGGTGTGTGTGTGTGTGTGGTGTGTGTGTGTGTGTGTTGTGTGTGTGTGTGTGTGTGTGTGTGTGTGTGTGTGTGTGTGTGGTGTGTGTGTGTGTGTGTGTGTGTGTGTGTGTGTGTGTGTGTGTGTGTGTGTGTGTGTGTGTGGGTGTGTGTGTGTGTGTGTGTGTGTGTGTGTGTGTGTGTGTGTGTGTGTGTGTGTGTGTGTGTGTGTGTGTGTGTGTGTGTGTGTGTGTGTGTGTGTGTGTGTGTGTGTGTGTGTGTGGTTCTAATGAAGGTAAACACAGTGAAGGCACTGCTCTTCTCAGATTCTGCTGAGTTACACTTTACTGCCTCCTGGTGCTGCAGAGATTTCATGAAGTGAAGGAGGTTTTCCTTCTATAAAACAGCTGTGGGCAGCAGATACTGTGAGAGTCACAGACATGAATACATAGGTCAAGGAAGACTGGTTCACACACTCTCCTGTTTTGCCGATCCGGTGCTTGAACAAATAACTCTACACCCCTGGCCGAAATGACAGAGTTTGAAATATATCTCAAATAATGTATGTATTTCCCCACATAAACAAAACAGTCTGCAATGAAACTGCTGTCTCTTGTGCGCTCCACTTCCTACTTTCTCCTGCGAACGAGAAGAGACTTTCTCTCTCTTTTTTTTTTCTTTCATTGCCCTCTAGCGACTTCGTACAATAAAAAAACAAATGCATATATTTTATTTTAAAAAGTAAAGTCCTTTCGAGTCATCTGTCTCAAGCCTAAGTCAAGTCTCAAGTCATGAATACCAAGTCAAAGTCGAGTCTTTTATCAATGTTAGTCAAGCAAGTCTCAAGTCAAAAAATATAAGAGTCAAGTCATGTGACTCGAGTCCCCCACCTCTGGTATATACTTTGGTTAGTATATTGCTGTATTACTGTATCAAAAATAATACAAATATAATAAACACAAACAGATAAGTAGTATTTTGTTAACTCAAGGTCTATATTAAGTGAGTTTTTATTGTGTTAACTTGTGTATTTATGCTTTTTAGATTGACTTTCTCTCTTTCTCTGTCCGTCGTTCTAGAAACCGAAAGGAAAAGAAAGACATCACAGCTGTCAGCAATGTGACCAATCCTTTTCAACATCTGGAAATTTAAAGCGCCACCTGCTTGTTCACACTGGAGAAAAACGGTACGGCTGTGAAGAGTGTGGGAAAACTTTCACTCAATCAGATAATCTCAAAACACATCAACCTATTCACACTGGAGAAAAACCGTACAACTGTGAAGAGTGTGGGAAAACTTTCGCTCATTCAAGTTCTCTCGAAACACATCACCTTATTCACACTGGAGAAAAACCGTACAGCTGTGAAGAGTGTGGGACAACTTTCGCTACATCAGGTGCTCTCAAAACACATCACCGTATTCACACTGGAGAAAAACCGTACAGCTGTGAAGAGTGTGGGAAAACTTTCGCTCGTTCAGGTTCTCTCACAACACATCACCGTATTCACACTGGAGAAAAACCGTACAACTGTGAAGAGTGTGGGACAACTTTCGCTACATCAGGTGCTCTCAAAACACATCACTGTATTCACACTGGAGAAAAACCGTACAGCTGTGAAGAGTGTGGGACAACTTTCGCTACATCAGGTGCTCTCAAAACACATCACTGTATTCACACTGGAGAAAAACCGTACAGCTGTGAAGAGTGTGGGACAACTTTCGCTACATCAGGTGCTCTCAAAACACATCACCGTATTCACACTGGAGAAAAACCGTACTGGTGTGAAGAGTGTGGGAAAATATTCACTACATCAGGTGCTCTCAAAACACATCTTCGTGTTCACTGCAATTAAGCATATTTAGTTTTTTCACTTTACAATAAACAATTCCCATCTATTGGCCATGTGTTGGGTAATCCTTTTTTCCATTACAGATCCCATCCCAACAGCGCCATCTGTTGACGTAACATAATGTTCACTGTTCCTTTAAGTTTTGTTTTCTGGCTGTCCATCTGCCGAACAGCTGACATTATTGCAGCATTAAATCCAAGCCATTGTCCAATACAGCTTATGTATCAATATACAATCCAGTTGTAATGCTGCTCATACATGCATGCACACAACAGTCTATGGGGCAGCAACCAAACAGACAGTAACGGAAATATAGTGGAAGAAATGCTGGAGGAAAGAACACTAGTATGCCTTAATGATGGACATGGCACAAGAGTAGATGAACACAGGGGGAAAGTCTCATGCCTGGATCTGATATTAGTGTCAAACTGTTTGGTTCATACATGCGAATGGTTTGTTTTGAATAACTCCACTGACCATTATCCAGTGCTTACTAAAATGAATAATAATGTGTGTATATGCAGGAAGGAGGTGTGATAACCAGGTGGTGCTTTGCTAAAGCTGATTGGGGAAATGTAGGATATGGTGTGAGGAGTCGGTACACCTGCTAACATGAGAGGGAAGCATAGAGGTCATTACAAGCCAAATAACGCAACATATACTAAATGCAGAAGAGAACAGTATACCCAAAAAAACAACCAAGGGTAGGAAGAAAGTGGTGCCATGGTGGAATGAGGAATGCAGCAGGGCTATTAAAGAGCGAAACGATGCACTTAGAGAAAAGAAAATCATGACACAAAATAATGTTATAGAGTTTCAAAGGAAAGGGGCAGCTGCTCGAAGGACAATAAAACACACACAAAAGAGAACATGGAGAGAATTGTGTTCTACCATTGGCAGAGGAGTAACATTAGGTGATGTCTGGTCCATGTTTAAGCGGATGAGTGGGGAAAGGAAATCCATGGGGAGAGGCTGGCAGTGACAGATGAAGAGAAGGCAGGTATGTTAGGAAGGACACTTGCAGCAGTACATAGTGGGGAGCATCTCAGTGATATTCATAGGCAGCAAAAACAGCACTTACTAGCAGAGAATGAAAACGTGAAGGAGAAGAGACAGGATAATATCAGCTCTGGATGTGGAATTAGTAAGAGTGAGTAATGATGTGGGAAAAACATTGAAAATGAAAGAGATAATGGCAATAGTGTACTTTGACATTGAAAAGGCGTATGACTCTATGTGGAGGGATGGGTTACTGATCACATTGAGTATATGGGTATTGGAGGGAGAATGTTCAATTGGGTAAGGGCCTTTTTAACAGACAGGACATTTAGAGTAAAGGTTGGAGCAGATATTTCCTATTATTTAGAAATAGAAAATGGTATTCCCCAAGGGAGTGCAGTCAGTCCAATATGATTTAACATCATGATTAATGACATATTAACATGCTTAGACACATGCATCCAATCGGCTCTGTATGCAGATGATGGGGCTATGTGGATGAGGGAAGACATGCCCCATACGTAATGGAGAAGCTAGAGCGATTAAAAAAAGTGGAGAGGTGGTCATATAACTGGGGATTCAAAATGTCAGAAAGCAAGTCATGCTACAGGTATTTACAAACAAACACAAGATTGATGGCCAACAGCTAACACTATATGATCGTCCAAAGACAAAGGTGAATGAGTTCAAATACCTAGGACTGTGGTTTGATAGCAAAAATGCATATTAATCAAGTGGAAAACAAAATGCTAAAAAGTATTAAATGTATTGCGAGCTGTAGCTGGATGCAACTGGGGCGCAGACAAACAAGCATTGATAGACATTTACAGATCAATGATGAGGTTGTAGACTATAGACTATGGTTATAATAGCGTATGGAGCAGCAGCAAAAACATCGCTTTAAAAAAATTGATAGACTACAATATAAAGCATTGCGGCTGTGTATTGGAGCGATAAAGTCATCCCCTATCAATGCAGTTCTGATAGAAGCAGGAGAGACACTGCTGGAGATCAGAAGAGAGAAACTTGCTCTGTCATACTGGGTCAGGCTACAAGGAAGTGTAGAGGAACATATCATAAACAGAAAACTACAGGATTGGGCATGAGGGGGTGAAAGGGAACGAGTGCGCATGAGGGGGTGAAAGGGAACGAGTGCGCATGAGGGGGGGAAAGGGAACGAGTGTGCTGATAAATGAGCAAAAAGTGCACTACAAAAGGAAATAACTTTACCAGCTGAACTTGGAGAAGGAGAAGGAAAAGCAGTCATTAAGAGGAAAGGGATGGAGATCTGGCAGAAAAGGTGGGAGGAAGACCAGAAAGGCAAAGAGTATCATCAAGTTCAAAAGACAATCACAATTAATATTTAACACATCCCCAGTCTCCTGTCATGCCAACCTGCTCCTTTATTTCACATAAGTAATTTAAACACATTTAAGCCAACTACTCACAAAGTTGTGGCAATTTAATACTCACAACATGAAAGAATCAAAAAGAAATCAATAAAAACACAAGCATCAGTATAATTGAGCAGTTATGATACAGCCAGATGGCTACTGCAACACACACACACATCCTACTCTGCTGCCTATAGCATATGTCTATATAAGGGTATTTCCTCTCCGTCTCCTTCTCCTGACAGGGAAGTTTTCACTTCTCTCTTTCCAGCTTCTTGTTCATATAAACTGCTACTATTAAATACAAAGTAATTATGTACACACATGAATATATAAAAACACACTTCTTATATATCAGGGGACATTAAAATGAATATACCAAAAATTACACTGTATTAAACTTCCTGCTATAATATATTAATGTAATTATCTTCAGCACACACACACACACACACACACACACACACACACACACACACACACACACACACACACACACACAGTAATGCTGACAGCAAAGACATGATGACTTCAAAGTTTAATATCCGTCCTCAGAGAATCGAGAATGGGGGAGAGATGGCAGCAACACACAGCACAGAATAATTACCGAAACTAAACAAAGTGTTTTTATTTATTTATTAAAATTATAACTACAAACTGAAAAAACAGGGGAAGCCCGGCTTCCCTTGGCCTCCGGGAGAAAACGCCACTGACTAACATAGAACTGCAGGAGAGGAATAAGGCCTCTTTAAAACATGCATCCAGCAGGTGTTCCTGAACTTCAGCAGCACGCTGACCTCTAGTGAATCAACACAGAGAGATATTCTCATACGGACCATTTACAACGAGGTGTGTGTATCTAGAGCAGGGGGTCCACACTTTCTTCACTGAGGGCCACATACAGAAAAACATACGAAGGTCTGGGCCGCTCACTCGAGGTTAATCGCCTCATAAGCTCTGTTATAAGTCAGCAAAATCAATCAAATGTAGGTGAAAATAGGGAGGCGTGAATTACACCAGAAATGCAGTAAAAAGACAAATATACGTAGATTAGATTCACACCTTAAAAAGGTGTGAAAGGAGGGATTTGTGGAGTCTATTTTTATATAACATTACAAGACTGATTCTTATTATTACATGATATGCTTATTGTGCTCATGAGATTGCTATGACGATAGAATAAATAGACACAATCACTAATCCCAGGTTCTGATGGGTTAGATACCAACGAGGGGAATAGTCAGAAGAAAGTTTTAGCTTGCAACAGAAAGTAGCAGAAGCCAGATGCAGGCACTGTAGAAGCAATGAGTTATTGAGGCTATGGCCTTGGCCGCCTGGGTTAGCTCCGCGCCCACGCATAGCTGGGAATCAGTATAACCAAGATTCCACTTTTCTGTAGAAGCTTCCTCAAAACAAATTACATGATGGTGCCAGAGTAGGGAGGGACTTCCACAGGCCGGCCGAATGCTGATTGGAGGATCGTGTTGCCAAGAGACTCTGAGTCTGCGCACCAACCAAAGAGAACCAGGTCTAAACCGCGGTATCTCTTCAGCTAGTCTTGACCAATCATAAATGTACGGGCAACGCCCTGTGTAATAAAATGTATTGTCGCACGAGGTTCGAAGCTCTTGACGGATTTGGTGGTTACAGATTATAGTTTTGCTGCCTGCGATTTCCAAGACGTGACGAGTCCTTGGCCAAGTGATATATATCTTTTGCTCTCTTTACAATAGATAGTTAAACTTAGAAGTTGTCTGTCTTTTCTGGAATGATGAACCCAACATTTTCTGTGTAAATTATTATTAATATAATACAAATATTTAGATATAATTCATCATAATCTGTGTAGCAATTTACATTCTAATTTACAGCTGACAGTTTTTTTTTATTCACATAGAAAGTGACATTAATGGATGTTTGAACCACGGTTATAACGCTATCCGTGTCATTAACTATCACTAAGTTAACACAGAAAGCAAACATTAGCTAGTGAGACTGTTTACTCCATGTATACAGTATTACTAATGAAATGGATGACCATTAGGAGGTGGTGGCGCTTGTCTTTTAAACTCAACCCTGTGAAACATAATATGATGTCTAAACATCTGAGCTCTGTTTAATATATTAAGATTTTTTTAGTGGTTTTTGATGTTTTTCACAACTTTGTAGCGGTAGAGAAATGTGATTTTAAAAAAGAAGTTTAATTTATTCAATCTTTCAAAATATGTATTAAGAATATAATGTGAGTCAAAGCATT